AAAGGACCATAGGAGGTTGCCTGTTACCTGTTCCTCTGTGCTTTCCATTCATTCTGTACATTAATCCAAAGATTGTCTGTTCTTCAGCAGCCGTTCTGAAAAGCTGTTCCTTTACTGTGTGCCCCCAAGCCCCATATACGTGGGCTGTTGTGAACTATGTTGCGGAAAGAAGATGTGACCCCAGAGTGCTCCTGCTCATAGCAGTCAGGAAGCCGGCGTGCCTGAAGAGCAGAACATGTGTGCGCCCCTGTTGCTGTTCAGTTCTCCGAAATAGAAACCAGGTTTACTGAAATAAAGGGGGCTGAGGAGCATCTGTAAGTTGGTGGGTTTGGGTCAATTGATACTGGATTTGGTTGCCATAGAAAAGCCCGTGGGATTCCAGGTGAATCGTGTTTCTTGGAAACTGAGGTGTACGTTGAAAGTTAGTTTTGAGATTGTTTATCTGAATGTAAAGGAGTATATGACACCAACTGGGGACTTACAGTAGTAGGGGTGACTTAGGCTGTAGATTTAAGTCTACTGAAATTTAGGTTTTCTTGGCCACTGCTTGGATGCTCCAACTGGTGTGTGAGTAACTTGATGCCTTATGCACGCAGGGGCGAGAGCGATCTGTGAGAGTAGCCAGAAGTGTTTGCTATTAGAGCCGAGCACCTGGATGGTCTTGAGGGAAAGGTGTCCTGAAATTATTTCCCTGACTATGGGGGGAGCAGTCATTGCTAATTTAACTCTTAGGTCCGACAGTTCACAGAAGTTGCTTGACTGGCTTTGTAGCTGTGGATGAACCCTGGTATGGCAAAGCTTTGAGACTGTTGTCAACTCACAGAACAGAGCGAGAGTTAGCAGCCTCTCCGTGCTGTTCTAGGGACAGATGTGAGCTGACTGCGATGTTGACGGGTTCCCCTAGGTCTTTTGTACCTCCTTCACCATTGATAAACTGGGACTTAGTTATTTTCTTACAGGTTTTGCCACCAGTGTTGATTGCTGTATAAGCTGAAAGAAGTTCGGGAAGCAAACCCACTTGTAATGCTCACAGGGATTCTGATTGCTGTGAGGTGTCTGAAAAAGAGCAGAGCTAGTATGGAGAGACGCACTTTTCCTTTATCCCTGTGTGGAGGTTGCTGGCTGTAACAGCTATGGTTTTGTGGACTCTAAAGCAGGAACATATAGCAGCTTTCCAGTACCTGAAGTGGCCTACAAGGAAGCTGGGGGGGACTTTTTACAAGGGCCTGTAGTGACAGGGCAAGGGGGAACGGGTTTAAATTGAAAGCGGGGAGGTTTAGATTGGATATCAGGAAGAAGTTCTTCATGGAGGGGGTGGTGAGGCACTGGCACAGGTTGCCCAGCGAAGCTGTGGATGCCCCCTTCCTGGAAGTGTTCAAGGCCAGGCTGGATGAGGCTTTGAGCACCCTGGCCTAGTGGAAGGTGTCCATGCCCATGGCAGGGGGGTTGGAACTGGATGCTATTTAAGGTCCCTTCCACCCCAAACCATTCTGTGATTCTATGAACATTAGTGGCATTGTTTGGAAAAAGAGGTATGTGTGTCACATAAAGTGGGGGGAGTAAGATGCTAAAGGAGGTATGTATTATACATAAGTGCATTGAAACAGTCATAGAATTGTAAGAATTGTAAAATGTTTTGGGTTGGAAGAGACGATAATTTCTTATAAATTGTGTATGACCAGATTTTGTATAAGTAAAGGAACTGGTAGTCAAGGTGATACTCTTGGCAGCCAACTATTATCACTGATCAATTTTTTTGATTGTCCTGTTGAGAATAAGGTACAGCTGCCTTGATACAGTTATGATCTGTAGATTGCTTCCTGCAGGCATGTCTGGTTTTGCCCTTTGTGTTAAGGACAGAGATAATGTGTGAATTTACCCACTATCCTATAACCATACCACCACTGGCTCTTACCTTATCGACTGGGGCTTTGCTGGCAACATCTTGGATCAGCCGACTACAGAATCGGAGTATGGCCCAGAGCTGGAGAAGTTGATCAATTGAGTGTGATTCAGCTCCGTTTGTGAGCATCTTTGCATTAATTTCTTTAAAACTTTAGTCTTTGACTTTACTTGCCATTTTATGGACGCTAAAGCTGTTTATAGAGAAGAGGTATAGCATAGAATTAGTAGAAGAAAATACAACAGACTAGTGAAAGAAGAGTGACACCTGAGGTAGAAGGCTAAAAAGTGAGAGAGGAAAATGTTTAAAGCCTGGCTTTTAGTAGTGATTTAAAAATAGATACAGCAGTTACCTTAGTCAGATAGCTGTGACAGTTATTCTAGAGCTTTCATAAGTAGGGAATGATGATGCCTGTGTTTACTTTTTCTGGGAGGGGAGGGAGAAGAGGGGTCTAATTTCTTCACTTCTACTCCCCCATCCTTCCTTGCTTTGTGAAAGATTAGAGCTTTAATTTCAGATCCTGCATGTGTATGTCTGTGGGTGGATTCTTGCACCTCCAGAACCTCATTGCAGGGTGCTTGTTGAACCAGGATATGGCATTGCTGCTTTGTTAATGTCCTTTTGTACTCTATGCTGAAGCATGTTCTGTATAATGCTAAAAATACTGAGCCCCTCCTGCCCTCCCCTTGCCAAAAGAAAACTGCAGATGCTAAAAACAAATGCAGTTTGAGCTGTGCACCTCAGCGAAAGGTGAAAGTTAACAAATGAGACAGCTGGGATTTAAAGGGTTACAGTTATTTTCTGCCTTATTTTGGTGATCTGTTCATCTTACTATATGCTAACATGCATTTTAAATATATTTGGTACCCCAAAGTTAGTGATATGATTGGTGTTGTTTACACTATCCCTAAACAGTACTGAGGCACAGTCCTAAAAGAAAAGCAGAACAACTCCTCTCCACCCCCAAAAAAACCCGCAAAAAATTTTCCTCATCATATTTTCTGAATGCTGTTTTGTGTGCGGACACAAAGGGAGTATTTTGAAGAAACAGAAGAAAATATTGACCAAGTCAAAGATCTGTATTGAAGAATGGATTAAATAAATGTTTGTGAGTCGTAAGAACCAAACAACAAAAATATTTTTCTTTCCAGAAACATTCCATCCTATTTTGATCATCAACAATAAAGCGGAAAACAACAATGAAACTATTGAATCTGGAATGCCAATTGCAATCCAAGAAAAATGACAGTATAACTAAATAATGCAAATGTCTTGGCAAAACAAAAAAAAAATTGTATTTCAATTATTTGGAACGCTAGAATTCCAAATGTGTTCTAAACTCAAAGGTTCTTTTCCTAAAACTTAAATTCCAAAATAAGAGAGTAAGTTCTGTTGTCCAAATATGAATGTGTGATAAGTAACTTTCTATTAAAACTTAGGGGGTTTTAATAGAAATTTCAAGTCTTAATAGAAATTGAATTGCTTCAATTTAACACTGCAGGGTAGACACTGAGATGTTTCATAGATTCTCCAAATACTGTTATTAAGCTTGACATGCTGGAGACTATCATGTGTTAGGTAGAATCAAGATTGAATCCCAAAGGTACATCCTGAAACTGTATAATCAGATTCCCATTTCAATGTCACTTTTATCCTTCAAAGAATAGGTGCTTGTTTCAGTGATGATTTGTCATTAAAATTATGTCAAAACGTCTTAAAATGTTGTTGAAACTCTAAACAAACTCACAGCACACACAGGGCTAATTATGGATGCCATCTGTTTATTTTTACAAAGCTTTTTTTCTTAAAGACCAAAGCATCTTCTTGTTCTGATAAGCCACAAGATGATTGTAATGACTAAATATTTTCCTTAATACTAGTGTGGTTGAAGGAAGACAGGCAAGTGGTTTGGTCACTGACCTTTTCCCATGTCACGGAGTGTACGTAGTATGACATCTCATGATCGAGAAACCGTTGCGATGTGTGTTTTCTGAAGGTGTTTTGGCCCTTGGAACACAAACCTTTTGTCATGAAAATGGCAGTTCTGTCCTAACTTCTATATGGGAAGTTTTACAGCTGGCTTTGTGTGAAGAACGTGTTTTCAGCTTGCCTATCCTTTACTTCATCTGGGTAAAAGATGCTTTTTTATCGTGTTGTGTCTAGTTAAAGGTTTTTTTTTTAAAGTTAGTAAACGTGCCCATTTATACCCCCGTTTCAAGGACGAAAGCGTGCACGCGCATACGCTTGCACATGTGTGCGTGCTTGTACGCACACGCTGGGGTTAGTGTGAACGACGGGTATTCCCATGGCAGCATCATCCAAAGCCGTTAGCAGCAATTTGCTGGGAGTGCGGAGTGACTCTTGCTGGTCCAGCCCAGCTATTGTGCATGCTAAGCACTAAACACGTAAGTCTGAAGGTGGGGGGGAGGGAGGGAGGAAAAAAATTGAAGGATCCATCTGCTCGTTTCTGCTACACTGCACTGATGCAAGATTACGCTAATCTGGTTGCTTGTCAGGACAGGTTAGTGAAAGCAGGCGAATGGGTGAGGTTTAGGGTAGGCTAGTTCTATGGAAAATTATAAGTGGCTCCTGTACGTGCCATGTTAAGTGTAGCAGAACGGGTTGATTATCAGCTACGTTGAGATTTTCAGTTAAAATATATTTACAGCTACAGGGCAGGGTTTTTTTTCCCCCCAAACAAAATCGAATGGGAAAAGCTTCTGAACAAAGAAAAATGAACTCATCGTCACCAGGTGCATTTGAATCTGTAAAATAAATGGGGGGAAAAAAAACCCAAACCAACTCAAAATCCCGAACCCTCTTACGTGTTCTCTATAGTTTTCCTTTTGTATGCTGCTCCTAGTTACTGTAATCTACTGATTATTTTACATTTTTGGGGGTTTCCATGCAAAAAAGGTTGTTGCTGGAGTTTATCAAGTAGAATTTTTTGGGGGAAAAATACCAAGATGGGAACATATTCTTTGTCTGTTCTTTGGCTGGTCTAATTTCTTGTTTATCTGTGTTTGTTTACGGAGAGGGATTTTTTTTGTTGTTGTTGTTTTTGTTACCTACTGACTGACAGTTCTTGACCTTGCAGGTTGAACATCCCGTCACAGAATGCATTACCGGCCTGGACTTAGTCCAAGAAATGATCCGTGTTGCTAAGGGTTACCCTCTCAGGCACAAACAGGCTGATATTCCCATCAACGGCTGGGCGGTTGAATGTCGAGTTTATGCTGAGGTAAATGAGTGGTAAAGGGGAGGAGGGGAGGTGGTTGAATTGTGGAGTAATAATACCCAGGTGTGGATAGATGCCAAGGTGAAGTCAAAGAGAATCATATGAAAGTCATGATTTAGAGTATGTAATGCAAATGGTTAATGAGCTTTTGTAGAATTGTAGAATTTATGTTTTGATTCAAAGTACAGTATGTATTTTGACAGACCTTTTTTTCTGAAAATCAAAATGTAAAATAGTAAAAGATAGATAATATTTCTAAGGAGATTTGCTCTATGTTCAGTTCACATTTAAAGGGGCAGTGTTGTTGGAGTTAATTGCCTCAGTTAATTAGTGTTTCCAGATTTCTGGCGTACTGAAAACCAGTTGAAACTCAATGGCTTACAGATTTTTTTTGTTGTTGTGCTACAACATTTTAATAGGTTGTTGAAAAAGCAAGTGATATATCTTCTGCAACTACAGTTTATAAGATAAACTTTAAAGTGCATTCCAAGGCAGTAACTTTATTACTGGAGTCATAACTACGATATGACTCTAGCTCACTGTAAAAAAAGCTTACTACAATATAAACCCCCACTTTCAAGCATGTTTAGGACATTTCAAGAAAATGTCTTTTTGCTGTCATTTTTGGTACATGAAAATCAAGATTTATTAATGAAAGAATGATGCTTCTCTTCATTTTGTTTTAAGAACATTTTATGTAACTGTGCTTTTCAAAAATAATTTAGCACCTTGAGATCTTTTTTCTCTTGCTTAACTATTACTGCATTTGTGACCCAGAGCATCTTAATTGATGATGTTCTTTTCTTTCTCTTCATGATGTGCACATGATATTCAACTTGCTTTACTGATTACAAATTAGATAAAATATTTTGATAAAGAATAAATATTTGCCCTGTGGTTGGCATGGAAGCTATTCTGGGTATGAGTAGGGTCTACCCTGGAGTAAGTGATGCTTGAGCTCCTTTTTTTTTTTGGTCAATTTAGATTCCTTCACATTTATAAATAAATAATGGATCCAACCACTTTGCAATGAGCTTGGTTATTCTACAGGCCACGTATTTATTTGCTGTCTTATTAAGTTCGTATTGGTATTGCATTATGTAGATTTCCAAAGGCATAAGTTGCTTTGATTTTTTTTTTTGAAGATAATTGAATTTCTAACTGCTCTTCTTATTTTTGAAGTTTTTTTCCTTATACTCTATTCTCAATTCCACCCTTCTGAATACTTTTCCCATCCTTCTTGCAAGGCACAGTGTGTCAAATGAAAATGTCACCTTGGTACGTTTTGGTGGTGTACAGTAGCTGTGTGCAAGAGCACTTCTTTCCTGCTTTTTTACTGCGATGGAAGAGTTCTGTTTTTGGAGTCACAGGGGTAGGTGGATGGAGAAATATGCTTTAACACAAGTAATTCTGGGGAAGAAAACAAAGTTATTCCAGCACTGGTCTCTGTTAGACTTCAAGCTATTTAATATTATTTTCTCTGTATCTGTAAAAGCTTAATGCTTTCTCATACTGAATTCTCTTTCAGGACCCCTACAAATCTTTCGGCCTGCCATCCATTGGTAAACTCTCGCAGTATCAGGAACCATTGCACGTGCCAAGTGTAAGTAACTCGGTTCTGCTTTTCACAGTTGCTGAGCATCTGTTTTAAAGACAGAGACTATAAGTACTCAGTGGCATGGTAATTCTGGCCTTTTTTCCAGCTTGTTGGTGGGGGGAAGTGGGACAGAACATGGTAATACTTACTTGTGCTACCTGAAAAAGTGTTTAAAAATGTACAGTTCCAATCTGGGTTTAAAATGTTCAAATTGTGTATAACAGGAAACCTTTACAGGTTGAAATGCTTTGTTACATTCTATAATTTTAAGCGGAAGTTACTAAAACACAGTTTATGTAGAAATATTTTAGTGACTAGGAAGGACAGTGAAATGTTGAGTCAGCTGTTTAACCACAGAGAGCTGGGGACACCGGTGGGAAAGGATACTACCTGTGCTTTCCGTTTCGCTTTGTAGACTTGAAAGAGGAAATATGTGACAGTGATTATTACACGTTTCAGGATACAGTCTAACTGTACGCAGCGGCTGTTTAACGAACAGTGTTTTCTGCTAGGTGCAAAGAAACAAGGACACCACCACCCTGTAAAATCGAGGTAGTCGAAGTCCTAAGTGCACGTACTCCTGACACTGTGTCAGTCAGTGGAATGACAAGGCTGTACCATCTGTGAATACGATTATTCAGTCTGATTGCTTGCACAGAAAATAGTGAAAGATTACAGGAGGAATCTTAAATGTGGAGACGTTATTGGATATGTGATTTGTTTCGCTTCTTAAATTGTTTTTGCCCATGTACTTTCCGAAGGGACCTGACCCTTCCTGGTCTTTAAGGCTCCATGCTGTGTTCAAAGCCTGAAAGCAGAAAAAAATTGTAAAGATCTAAAAGGCATTATGTGATCTTAAAGAGGAGATGAGGGAAAAAGGTATCGTTGGATGTATCTAAACTTTTTTTTTTAATGAAACAACGAGTGTATTTAATAAGAATTTATAATGAATACTCCAGTGGTTGTTAGAAGTTTTCACCATGTTGTAATAGCTAACAGGATGTCAAACATTTTGCCCTTGCAAGTTTTTGCAATTTGCAATTTTCCAAACGTGAGACCTGTTGAAAGTACAAGTGATAATGGACAAACTATACCCCCTACAGTCTTTGTCCCACCAAATCTTTCTTCAATTAATGCTGCAGCAGGAGTTTTATGTAATAACATTTGCGCTTGTGAGCCATCCATACAAAGAAAAAACAATTAAAATGCCTTAAATGTTCTGCTTACTGCTGTTATTTGCTTGTGTGAATGTTGCATGTCAGCTAAATGGACCACGGAATAGATAAAGTGATTGGGTGCAGGAGAGTGCACACTAAGCTTTGTCTATCATTATTGCTGGGAGCAATCAAATTGATGCCAGCAGGACAGTAGACGCGTTGACAGCTGTAATTATGTATCTCCATGGTGATCACTTTTGGCCTGTCATGGAGGCCCATGAGTCCCCTCCCTTGCAAGCATTTAATCAGATTGGGCTGTCACTTGTCAGGTAGACGGGGTGGGCTGGGAGTTGTGCTTAGGGGGAGAGGTGAATTGAAAATGAAGGGTGGGAGATGCCTGATCGCTTCACGTGGTCCGTTGTGGTACTGAAGAAAGAAATTTTAATTACGCTGGAGGCTTCAGAGCAAGGGTTTGAGGAGCTCATACGGAGCGTCTAGGCTGTTCTCTTTCTGTTTACTTCTGTTGTTGCATTAAAAATAGAGCAGCTATTTTTACGTAGACACTCACAGTTTGGTGTCTTAATACATATTTTCTGCCACTGTGAAACGAATCTTTCTCCTGAGAATGTCATGCCGCTACGAACAAAATTAGTATGGCTAAAAAAGGTTCAGCATTACAGGCCCATTGTGCCACAGCGTTTTCTGTGTTTCAGATTTTAGACTTGTCAACTAGTTGGCTTAAAAAATATTAGTGGAGACTTGTAGCATGTCACAGCGAGTTCCGCTTGTGAGTAGCGTGTTGCCAAATGCATTTTTTTAACCCGTTTCTTCTGTGTTTGTTAGCTCTGATTGCCTGCCTGGGTGTCAGCTGCCCAAGCTGGTGGCACTGGTGTGCGTGGATGTGTGAGGGTGTTTTTCTTAGCCAGAGATAGGAACATACTGACTCTTCATCAAATTTTTTTCATCTTTGATAACGAAGTTTAAGATAGGTCACCGCACAAAGCTGTGTTACGATGGTGAGCCTTCACGTGCAGCGCTCTTACGCAATGTGGAAGATGTACTGTCCGATCTGAAGAGCTCCAGCGTTGCTCTTTGCCAGTGTGGCAAAGGGTCTGGTCTGTTAATGACCGTTACCAGAAATAAAAAACCTCTTTGTATCGCAAGAACTGGGGAATGTTAGAACCTGTATGTGTTGGAAGGTGTAATTTGATGCACTAATAGTTCATTGTAGGACTGGGATGTAGATTGTGCTTGGGTGGTTTTTTTTTCCTCTTAAGCTTTTTTTTTTATCTTTCAGTTTATTGTTGTCCTAGTATAATAACACATAATGGTAGTGCAGTAGCAGTAAAAGCTTTGGGGCTGTGGTACCAACGAGCTGTAGGGTATGGTAGGATCTTGAACACTAGCCTTTCCTTGGTATTTTAAATACTGAGTGAAAGGAAGAAAATATGTTAAGCAGAAGCAAATGCTGGAGGTCTAATAAGTATTGCTATTATTTATCAACTTAAGCACATTATAGCGAGTATCAGTTGAATTAGGGTTTCTTTTTCATCCAATATTCATTAAGTTCTGTCACACCATATAGTTTATAAAATCACCTACTGTTACCAGGCTCTGAAAATGTAAGCACCACAGGGAGAATTGAAGATGGTAAATGTATTTCTTTTCTGCTGTCATTTTTTTTAGTCATCTTGAGTTTATTTTATGAAAATTAAACTCCTACAGAGGACTCAGAATTTTTTTTTTTTAAAGAAGGAAATTGTGCAGTAGTTTTCAAAGAATTGTAAATTCTCATTGTAACTTTTTCCTTTTTTAGGATATTGTACTTAGGAAAAAGTGTAAATTACATAGTGGTATGCATGCATGTTGTGTATGAACAGATCCATGGAGCAGGCAGAGCACATATTAACTTTAAGGTCTGACTGACCTTCTTACTGTGCTTCTTTCGTGTGTTTTTTTCTGTCAAAATATGATATACATGCACATGTATGCTATGTAAAGCACCCCTGAACACTTGTAGAGAATCGCACTGCAGGTGCTACTACGTGGGCGAGGCATTTATCTGGTACTGAATAGGTAAATTCTTTTGGATTTGAATGTGAGAACATATGCGCTGACGTTATAAGCAGACATGCTGGGAGGAAGGAAGGATGGTTTAGCACTTGGGAGAAGAGGAGCTGCGAAATATGCTGCATGTTTTTTTTTCTCTAATCGCAATGTGTCTGAACTAACTTCTCATCAGTAGCCAGTGTTAAATGTACCTGATGAGTAGTGGGGGGCCTAGTTAAGCATAGATAAAGCACGTTTGGATAAGATGTGATCAAAATGCTACAGGAGTGCCATTGCCTTTACATATGAATAAATATGATATGCAAATAAACATAAATATGTAAGAAATAATATATAAGTTCATAAGTATGTAAATGCAAATATATGAATAAGTAATTATTTTAAAAAGTAAGAACGTAACGTCATAAAAACGGGGTCAAACAGTGGAAAAAAAGTGAAAAAAGTGAGCACACCTGCTAGGGTATCTTTTTATGTCATTTGGATAATAAAGTCATCATCATGCCCTCATGTGGATTCTGTAGACAAGAGGTTCTACATGTGGTCCCTTGATAATTGCCTAAATTAAAATATTAAAGGCCTAACAGCCGTTGCGTTGACCTTTTTCTGCCTTGCTGCAGACAGATGAGCTGCTGTTTATTACAAAGGTTCCTTCCCACAGGTGAAGATTTCAGTGAGATTCCAGGACCCTCTTTCCCACCCCCTTTACAGTGCAGTATATCAGAGCCCTGCTGCTTCAACAGCTTTGATTAGAGCCCTCCATCCTTATGATCCCCAGAATGCGTTTATCACCGTTGAGTTATTTTGATTAGTTTTTCAAAAATATTTCAGATTCCAGTGCTCAGAAGCAGCAAAATTAATAAATATTTATTCCCTGAAATTGCTCATTTGAAAAGTTTTATATGGCTAACCTCCTTGCTACAGTGATGAAATCAAACTGAGAGATGAAAACAAGAATCAGCAATATACTAACTAACTTGTTGGCTGGTTAACAGCAATCAGCCTCTTCAAAAGAAATTTTTGAACTTATGTTATTTTTTTCCATGAATATTGCAGAATCAGAGCTTTAATTGGGGCTGTGTCCTTACAAAGCAAAGCCATGGAAAAAAGCTGTGTAAACATTAAAGCCTCAGGGGAACAGCAGCAACAGAAAAGAAATGTTTTACAGTTGAGAGGGTGAGGCAGAGAAGGAAAGTGTTACAGACATGAAAACCACAGGATCACTATTCCTATGGAGCTGATAAGCAGAGCTCCCAAGTTCCCGCTGAATGCTCCCTACTTGTGTTCCTGCTGGAGCCCTCCGAAGGGCTGTAGCAGAGCATGGGGGACGTGATTGCATGTAGATGCAGAAAGGGTGTGATTATAAGGGCATCCTTCGTGCCAGGTGCCAGTCAGAAGAATAATTACAACCGTATTTTATTACAGGGATTAAAATGGAATTGGATACATCAAGAGTTGGAGTTCAGAGTGTGTAATGCAACCGAAATTGTTAGATCAAATTTAACGTGTTTACTGTGTGTTCTAGGAGAACAAAGGAGAATTTTGTCTATCAGCTGTAGCTGATAGTGAAAATCTCCTTCTTTTAAAGGAGACAATATCTTGCCAGTATTTTTCCTGGTAGAAGAAAAAGCTTCCTTCCCCCCTCCTAGCTGTTCAAATAATTATTCTAGTTCTTCAAGGGGGGAAAAATGTACCCAATAATCTTTATGGTGTTATGGTTTATTCTGCCGGGTAGATTTAATCTCATGTTGAAATATTTTTTTCCCCCCAATATATAATTATTTTTACTTCTGTTTTTTGAAGGTACGTGTTGACAGTGGCATACAACAAGGAAGTGATATTAGCATTTATTATGATCCTATGATCTCAAAAGTGAGTTGATGATTATTTTTCAATATTCTAAAGGTATGAAACACTAATTTTATACACAGATCTTTTAAATGGGGAAGAGTACATTATCGGACTGGTAAATCAGTATTTTAAAGGTGCTAGGCATAACATGCCTCAAGGGAATATGAAAAAAGCAAAGGAAGATGTGGAGTAGAGGAAATTTATTGTCTCTTCTAAACAAAAACTTCTTCATCTTTTGACACCGTAATTATTTGTCTTGCAGTTTATGATTGTTAAAAGGATTCTGATTTAAACAGAAGCCATTACTTTCGGACTTAAGTGCTGTCAGTCTATCTTTCTTTTTAATGTAACCTAGCCAGAACCAAAATTGCAATAGTTCTGGCTTCCAAAAAGAAGCAGTGAAAAAACAGTTAATAGTGTCTCTTAACATTAGTTGTTATTCATCAGTAATATACTGGTAAGATTAAAATACGACATTATAGTCAGAGTTCAGTTGTCAAAAAAATTCACATGAAAATCTTAGAAGTTGGTTGGGCATTAGAAGTCAGAAGAGTCAACTAAGTATTGAACCTCTGCTCTAACTTTCTGTGCGCCTGAAGAAGAAGGGAGCGCTCGTTTAGGTGCTGTAAATTTTATGAAGGAAAAGTGAATGGCCTTCTTTTGTTGAATGGGTTAACAGAAGTTAGTATTCTTTTGATGTTTTAGAGAGCCTCAGAAGCACAGACACAGTAAAGTGCAAGAAATGTTTTTGTGACTGCGGAAGTTCTACAAACCATCTTCATTTTAAATGCTGTTCAGAATCTAGAGAAAAATATTCTCTAATTTCTAGGTAACTTAAATACTACTTTTCTTTCCTCCCAGCTGATTACCTGTGGCTCTAATAGAGCTGAAGCACTAAGAAGAATGGAAGAGGCTTTAGACAATTACGTAATTCGAGGTAACTACAGAAATTTGGGGTCCTAGTGTGATAGGCTGTCATCTATTTCAAGAAAACAGCTTGAAAATGTAGTAATTAGCAAATTGAGTAAAGTTCCTGCTTCTTAAGTGCAAATTAAAACAGGAAAAACATGTGTTAATTAAGCTGAGAAGATACATCAGATCTAAAGAGACTTAATTTTTTTTCCTCCATTGTTTTTGCTGGAATATTATGAGATAAATATTTAATTTGTTTCCTTAAACTCATAATAGTTTTCACAAAACAGTAGCATATAATTCATTTATTATGTTGTGGAGGGAAAAAAAAAAGTCCACTACACTGTAAGAAATTTAATTTAATTGCTCTTTGACAGCAGTTTAATGCATTGATTACAGTCAAATAATATGTCAGTGCAGTATTTGATGGTGTGTGTATATATATATATATGTATTTCTTATTTTCAAGGTAATTATTTAGGTTTGGGCACATACAGATGTAGGCTGATGATGACAGTGTCTTTCAGCTCTTTCTGACTGACTGTCTAGGGGAGGTAGCTGTTCTTCCAGCCTTTCCAAGCAGCAGAGGTGAATCAGCCGTGCCCACTTTAGCTCCTTTTAAGTTCTGGAGAGGGAAGTCATGGTTTGTGTAGAAGAAATCTTCAGATCTTCCTCTGGGTCTTACGGAAAATAGGAAGGAGAACTCATAGGAGAGGCAAAACATTGGGTTTCTTACCCTTTCTTTTCCTGGAGTGACTAGAGAAGGGAACTGTAATGTGGCAAAAATCTTCCTTTTACCCCTGAACTGTGTGGGTGTTTGGGGGAGTTATTTTTTTCATTCCTAGTCCGTATGCTTACAGAACCAGGATAGGTAGGAAGGCAACTGTTGGAGGATTTGCTGTCTTTGTTCCTTGTTTGGTTGCTGGACAGGTGGTTCCATGGTTTCAGATAGGAGAAAGACGTGGAAGACTTCACATTCACTCCCTGAATGTCTGGGGAAAAGAGCAGGAGAGACCTCATATAGTAGACAATCATATGCGTGTTTCTATAAAACTTGGTTTGGCTTTAATGCTGCTTAATACTGAGGATTCCAGGTCAGACTTGAAAGTTTTGTCTGCCTAGGGGAAAATGAGCATCCCTCTGCCTCAGTGTAGCCAGATAGGTGGTAGGATTAGCCACTGTAAATGAACTGCATGCTCTGAAGTGGATTTGTCCTGGTGCAATGTGAGCCATTAGACTGTTGCAGTAAGACATACTGATGTAAACCCCTGCGGTATGTCAGCTGAGTAAACGCACACGAGAGAGTTGATACTGCTCTAGCTGGGCTGTTGCGAGGTGGGATTCGTTGCGGGGGTTTGTTGTTGTTGGTTTTAATGGCGATGGGCTCTGGATTAGAACTCGGGATTATATTTAATGAGAATACTGGAATTGTGTGGAGCATTGCCATTTATTGTGTGCTATAATATGGGATGGAACCTGATTGTTCTTAAGCGTTTTGCCCAGATGTCCTTGTACCTAGTAACAGTTCCAAGATTTATAAATACCTACAGAAGATATGATGCCTTACATATGAAAATTACTAATTTTTATTCCTGACTTTTTAACAGTCTTTTATTAGCATGCATATATGTGTTTAAGTGTTCATACCTGATATGAAATATACCTGAAATACCATAGTATTTCTACCTGTGAAAAAGCTCATCTGTTAAAAAGATTTATGATAATAAATGAACTACTGGGGAGAATGCCTTTTTTTTTTTAAGTATTGCAAAGAATCATAGAAGGGTTTGGGTTG